AATATACATCTTAATAATATAGATAGGTTACCTTGTAAATGTACTGATAATGTTTTTTCAGTTGCTATTAAGAAACAAACAGGGAATTTAGAAATTTTGCATCATTAATATTTACAAAACAAACTTTAGGATCTGAAAAAGTCCTTTAAAACATTACAGAGTAGAGAGAAAATACTTAATAAAATTCTTCAGTGGTTGAATATAAGACGAGTATAGGTTTTCAGTACTTAACATATGTATCCTACCCAAATTATGAATAGAAATTTTGCATTATATATAACCCAAATTTAGTATTTAGATTTATTCATAGAGATAAAGATTCTGTTATTGTAAGTATTTTATAAACATCAAAACCTTTAACCTTATTTTGTTTTGACTAGCCATTTTATTAGGATTCCTGACATGTTACATACTCCATTTAATTTCTTACATAAAACAGACTAATCTTAAAATGTGTTAGATGATTATATGATAGTAGGTACTTGTTTAGCAGAAACATTTTTACTTAATATTCATTTCACCAATCTTAAGATTGTCTCTGTTACTGTGAAAACTGGTTGTCAACCAATGGTAATCACCAATCTTTGTTGCTATTAACTGGTTATTTTCACAGTGGTCAGATTTTGACTCTCTCCATCCATAATGTACAAAAGACATTACAAAAACTATCACTGACTAACAGCCAATCAAAAATTGCTTACCATAGATGAAAGTGAGTAAATGAACATCATTGGTGCTTAGAAACCAAACAATTGACATTGAATAACTATGATGTAGTTTGATGAATAATTGTACTGTAAAAAAAGTTTGATATTATTTCAGTTATACAGATGGTTGAGTAAGCTGTACTAAAATGATTTTGAATATGCAAACCAGCAAGTCACATGACAACCAAAGCTAATATAAAGGTGTAGTGAAGTGACTTATGTCAGAAATACATTTTAAAATTACCTGGTGTTTTGTAGGTAGTGTGATGCCACTGAAAATTGATCACTTTTGGAAAAGGTATGTAACATGCTTTTCTGATACAAAATACTTTTACACTCAGATAAGAAAGATGTGTTAATGTCAGGAATTTATAATTTCCAAGATTGTGATATCCATTGTACTTAGTGGCATTTGAAAACAATGGAATAAGGATCAACTTAGTGTACCATTCAGGACCATCCAAACAGAGACTTTCAACAAGTCATACTTCAACCTTGGAAAGAAAATTCAACTTGTGAGAATCCATGAATGTAAAGGTCATTTTCAAAAGCCTTACACATGTCTTAGGCAGTTGTATGCAATATGAACAAGAAGGATCTTTATCTGGATATAAGATTAACATGATATGATTTCACCAAGTTGTACCTCCCATTCAATCATCACATACCTCAAACAGCTGAAGAATGGATTGGGTATTCAAGTTCTTTCATACTATGACACACCAGTCAAGTTGCTAGATGCAGTATTTATTGATTTTTTGTACATTAGATGGCTAAGTGAAAGCATGTAGGGAGGAGGGATTTACTTTGGGCATGACAACTTTATAGCAGAGCCTTTTGCAATCTAAATTGTGCTGCAAGGCTATTGTCAAGATGCATGGTTGTCATATAGAGCATGACTGGGCATGGCCTGTAACAATGTGATGAGGCTTTAAGATCATTTTAACATAATATACTCAACCTCTGTACCATGCCTGTTTTAATATAGTTACTTCTTAAGGTAATATTCAATTCCTAACAAATACTTGTAAGATAGTATGCATGCAGTGACATAAGAATTTATTTTTGCCAGGGGGGGGGGGTATCTTTCAGTAAACCTGAAATTGTCAGGTATCACTTAGACATGAGGGGTATTCTTATTGAGTAACTAATGATATACTAGTGACAGTATATAATATAGATGTTTTTGTATGGTTGTTTTTGAAAATTTTGGTGAAAGAAAATTTTAAATCTCTAAATGTAAATTCTGTTATTGTTTTGGATCCCATATTTTTGTATTTGAAGGTGACCTCTGCCACTTGATCCTTCTACACAAATCTAGGGAGAGTGACTGTTCTGATGGTTCTTGTGTCATTGTATGCATGGTTACTCAGTGTTCTTTTATAGGACTGAGCATTTGCTTTCTATCATCATCATACACAACTGAATCATCAGTTTTAAATACTGGTCAGAGAAAAAGCTGGTGACACTCTTCACTCTTAAAATTAAGAAGGTAAATTCTGGCATTCTTTATTAACCAAGTCAGTGTATGTTTATTTAGTATTATTTTTTCAACTGGGTATCTGTTTAACTAAGATATTGACCTGGAAAGAGGCCAGTTGCTATATGGCATTATATACTACTGATATAGAGGGAATGTATTTTATTTTTTTATTTGGGTATTTACTTGTTCAGACATATTTGTGAACAATATGGGGACAGGAATACCACTTTTAGGAGATAAGTTTTACTTATAACATCCATTGCTCTGGTTTAATAACTTTCTTTTATTATAATGTCATTTCATTTCATTACATAAACTGGATGCAGACAGTGAATGAGTAGTAGTTTGAGTTGTTAAAAAGTGACTTACTAGCATATGCTGGTGAGTTAACTCTTTAGCTCAGTTGGTAGAGCACTTGTGTGACATGCAATAGGTTGGGATATATATCTTTAAAAAATAAATTATCACAAATGATAATATTAGACATATGGGCTTGGGGGCTTTAGCACCCACATGTGCTTCTAATTAATTGAAATTGTTTATTTCTAATGAGAGGCTTGATAATGAACATTAAATCTTATAGATAGTATGAATGCCTCTTCTATAATTAGGAACCATTATGCCACTCCCACTTCATAACTTATACTCCATTTTTTATATTTCCATCATAAATATGTACACTGTTTGACTGCAAAATTGGTTTTTATTTGAAATCATCAGAACAGTGCCTAGACTCCTCACAGATGAGTCACGGTTACATTTCTGTTTACTTATGATCGGTGGGTTCCTATCTGGAGATCCAAAACAGAATGATATGCTCAGTGCAGTGTTGTTGAATAAGATCATTTCTATGCTCCTTCAGATATCATTATGAACATACTTACTGATCTTATTTGGGGACAAATTTGCTTATTGCTGATATATTAGCATGATATTGGACCAGTTTTCTTGGGATGTAGAATAATGCTATTGATCAATTGATTGCAAGTATTATGCTGCACTGATGTGTAAACTGTATCAGGGGTAACATGTTCCTTAAGGAAAATTGAGTTTGTTTGTTTTTGCTAAATGTGAATCTCATACAGTTCATACCTAATTCAGAAAATATATATTAATATATTCATATTCCATAGATTTTTATTAGTAATAAATTTATTAATTAACATAATTCAGTGAATAAATAATGTTCTTGAAATGTACTCTAATATTAGGTATATTTTCCCTTTTTGTTAAAGAACAATTTAAGTATGACATCATGTTATGTTACTTTTTAGTATTATTCTGTAGACCTGTTTATAAGTATCTGTGTGTATATGTATCTAGCTCAATCCATTATCATATGAACAAATTGAAATGTTAATTTTCCACGACATTGTTCTGTCTTGAATTATATTTTAATGAAAAAGAATGTGTTGTAAAAACAAGTTATAAAAGTTTAGTGTGTTGTTTTTTCGTGTGAGCTTTGTTGATAACACCATGATTGATGTGGATTATTATTACGACTGCATGTAAAATCAGTAAAATTTTACTCGTCCTTCTCTTTCACTATCAGATGATATACACGAATACTTTTGCAAGGTCTGGCATGTATGTGAGATATCTGTGACTTGTGTAGCAGTTGATACTTATTTAGTACATCTGATGGTGTGGTATTATTAAACAGTGCTACAATCAAAGAGTGTTTACATGTTTATTGTACTAAACAGATGTTCTGGAAATAACTTTTCCTCAATATATAAATAATTATAAGAAACCGTTATATGTGAACACCAATTTGTCTCTTTGTGTATAAAAATAATGCACTACATTAAATTTCCTTTGCATCCATATAATTTACAGTGATGGTATTTCAAAGTTAGTAGGTTTAAAGCTGTTATTATGCTTTAATATAAAATATATCTTTTGTAGTTTCTGTAACCCATTTTTGTATCAAAGAGTTGTCTCAGAGTTTGCAATTTTTAAGTCTATTAGTTTTTTACATGTTGATTTTGTTACATATCACATTTTACAACCAGATACTAGAAATATTAAACGAGTAGTGAAATTGTTTAGAGTAAGCCCAAAACTCTGATATTATTTATTACAATAAAATTACTCAATCTTTGATTTGTTGATAAATAAATGTTAACTTTTAAGTTGAACATTGTTTCTATAGCAGCTCAGTCTGTCAGTAAGCATTTTTTTAAGATTGTATATATTTCAATAGTTTAATAGAATTTAAAGAGCTAGAAATAAAAAGTTGCAATTTAAAAAAATAAACATCAATTAATACATAATAACATCACAACATATTGACTTCTAGTGGTTATAATTTTGAACAAGGGTTTGTTGGTTGGAGGCGTGATATTGTGTAAGTTTATATTATCTTTTTATAACAAGGTGTTTTTGTTTGTATAAAATGACCTTTATTTGCGGTTAAGGACAAACCAATAGGTGACAATAAAACTTAATTATAAACTATGAAGAATAACATTTTTGAAAATGACTGCTGGTAGTTGTTGAAACGTTAGGTTGTTGGTATATTTCCGAGTTCTAGTTTATTATATCATTTATTAATTCATAAAGGAAAAATTGTTATGATGGTGTTAAATATGTAATATGACAAATAAATGAAACAGCATCTGGCTGTTTTTTACTTTTAATGTTTTTTTTTGATTTTCATAAAAGAATCCTAAATGTTATTTTACTTGGGTAACATTGATAGTCATTGCAGTGGATGCAGTTATGGCAAGACCTATGTTATAAATCTTGTTTTCTTATGACTTTAGTAATGTTTTCATTGAACTGACTAACAGTTTTACTGTTTGCAGGACACGAGTGTGTTCATAGAAAACACAGGTTTAGTAAGAGTTGCTGATTACAGCTTAGACAAGAGGTAAGATCTGTTCATTTCAATCTACAAATTTGTGATATAGAAAAATTATATATTCATTACAATAATAATATATGAGTTTTTGCTTTAAACACTGGCCCCTAAATTCTTTGTATTTCTCTGCCTCCTGGTGTGGTATAAGCTCTTGTATTGTTCTCTCATCAGCCTTTACTCTGAACTTTATGTAGACATGATGCCTTAGAAATTACTTCATGTAATGCTTGTTTTGTTTTCAGCTGACTTTAAATTTTACATAACTGGTTGTAATAATTTTATGCTAATATTTAAAGGATGTTTCATATTAGAAACTAATGCTACTAATTCCTATTGACTGAATATTCAGTTAGACACCACACCTTAGAAATTACTATTAAATATTTATTTCAGCTAATATTCAGTTACGACACTTAAGAAATCAGTATTAGTTATAAATTTCAGTTTGCCTTTAAAAATTAATAGTAGTTACCTTTTTCAGCTAACCTATATTAGATGTCACCACTTAGAAATGACTAATAGTAATTTCAATTACTCTTTATTAGACATCACACCTAAGAAATTACTACTAGTGACTTAATTCAACTAGTCTGTATTAGTCACCATACCTTAGAAATTACTTGTATGTAACATGTTTCAACTAATCTGTATCAAACACTACATCTCAGACACTACAACTTATAGTACTTGTTTATTGACCTTTAGTTTAGTGTGCCACTTTACATAAGAGATTACTAATACTAATTAGTTTCTTCTTCTTTTTTTTAATGCTGATATTCATTTGGACACCTTACCTTAGAAATTATTAGTAATTGTTTCAGTTGATCTTATTTCAACAAGACATCTTAGGAATTATTAGTAGTTATTTATTCCAGATGATCTTATTTTCTTATTTTGGGTTTTAACAATACACCCTAGAGATTATTAGTAGTTATTTTTTCAGCTGATCTAATGTGACAGTACACCTTAGAAATTATTAGTAGTTATTTTTTTTTAGCTGATATAATTTGACAATACACCTAAAAGTTTTTATTTGTTTTAGCTGATCTTATTTGGACAATACACCCTAGAAATTATTAATTGTCAATTGTTTCAGCTGATCGTATTTGATAATACACCTTAGAAAGTTTTATAAGTTATTTGTTTTAAGTGATCTTTTTTTATAATATGCCTTACAAAATATTTTTACTACTAGTTATACATTTGGCTAATCTGTTGTTAGACATAATATTTTAGAATCTAACATTGGTCACACTTTCTTGTTGTTCTTTAGTTAGACTTCAAAATTTTCTATTCTAAGACAAAAGACTGCACTTGTAAGTTAAAGGTCAAAATAATCTATCCTGAAGAATAGCAATCAGGGAATTTAGTAATGGTATTTTATTGTAATATACATTACAATCATATTGTTTTCATAATAATTAAGGCTCTGTTTAAAGTACTGGGCAACAACTACAATGTCATGGAAACTTTGTAATCTTGCCTAACATTTTACTGTAAGTAATTTTGTATTGTATTCACACCACCCCAGTCCACTGAACTTGGTAAAGTTAATAAGATATGACATAGGACTATTTGTAAGGGTATCAGGATATTTATCATTGTTTACCAGGTACGTATGACAATACAGCAATAATGAGCTAATGGTTTACAGTTATATTAATGTTGTAGTTGATTGGTTAATACCAAAACACATCATTATTTCTGTCATTACAAGTAACACATGGACCCCCAAATATAATGTTCAAGTTGTACATTATTTACTTGTACATCACCATTAATATATATCAAAACCAGTGTTAAGTGTTTTCTTAATTATTAGATGCATGGAAGACACTGATACTTCTAAACCAGTTTTAAGTGTTTTCTTACTTAATTATCAGATACATGGAAGACACTGATACTTTTAAACCAGTTTTAAGTATTTTCTTACTTAATTATCAGATACATGGAAGACACTGATACTTCTAAACCAGTTTTAAGTGTTTTCTTACTTAATTATCACATACATGGAAGATATTGAAACTTCTAATCCAGTTTTAAGAGTTTTCTTACTTTGCTTTTATCTTGTAAAGTTTGATCAATATTTGAAAACTCTACTTAAATAAAGATGAAGCTAATATTTGGTCTGTTGTTTATCTATAAAATGAAAGTCACTTAATACATGCTCTGCTACATAAGGTATATTATTGAAGCAGGTTAAGTTAATAAATAATACTCACAAGATACAACAATGGGTTGCATGGTTTATCTACTTTACATGGTTAGGTTAAAAAATATAGTATTAATTTCATTTGAAATAAAACTGGTAAATATGCTAATCAGAAGTATTTTCTTGTAGTTGAGGGTTGCTTTTTTATTGATTTTAGGAGTGTTATTGTTTGTTAAAAACTGAAAAGATAACTCAGGTGTATTGCATTTGCAAGAACTGCTATATTTTACTCTTCCATAAATTGTAAAATATTTCTGAATTTTTATACATCTTCTAATCATAATTGGCATCTTTCTAAACAAATTTTTAAAGGTAGTGGTCCTCTCACTTAGACAGAGGTTACCTTCCACAATGATTGTTCAGCATGTCTTATACATGCTCATCCCTGTTCCTGCGCATGCTGTCCTGCAGTGACATCATACTTATTTTAGTGGATTGTACAGAGAGTTGCACAAATTCATATAGGTTGGGAGTGAATCACTTTTAAATGTATAATGGGAATGATTGTTGTTGTTGTTGTAGGTATTTTAGGTGTAAGATACCACACTAGAACTTTTACCTGGCACATGTGTTGTATTAGGTTTTTTGCCCTTGTCTGCATTTAATATAAATGTGCTTCATACCTGCTCCAGCAGCCACAAAATAGTCTTTAGCATAGAACATAGAAACTTTGTTGTTGTTGTTGTCTTTATGAATAAAGACTTGTTTCTATTTATTCACTTGTACTTGCTTTAATTTGACACTCCCCTCCCCTATGGACCTTGTTTTGGAATGTTTTTTTTTAGATCAGTGGCAATTTACTCAACATTCACAGCCTAAATTAAAATTTTCAAAACTGCTAAAAAGTTTCTTCACCCCTGGTTTGGATCAAGTGAAAATTGCTACAGAGAGTTGATTACTTACATAAAAACAATTTTGAATATGCAAATCAACAGACACTTAACAATTAATTGATTATCATCTAGCTATGTTATTATTCAATGGGTAAACATAACTTAGCACGTTTGAAAATATTTGGTTACAGACAAAAGTATATAGACTTGATCTTTAACCAACTGTCCTTTAAATTACAGTAATTAATTCTTTTTCTTGACCTTTAATTAGATATTACATTTTAGAAACTGATGCTGATTAAGCTGAGAATTACTGCTGGCTAGAATCTGTCTTATCTTTAGTTAGAGCATATAGTTTAGAAATCAGTACTATTTACAATTTTTGGTTGATCCTTCATTAGACTATTCATTTTAAAAACTGCTACTAAGGATACTTTTTTGATAATCTTTTATCATGAATTTTTTGAAGTCATTGCTTGATTTTACTTTTGATTGATTTTTAATTAGATATCACACCCTAGGAGTCATTGTTAGTTATATTCTTTCATAATTCATGTGTCTTAGATTATATTTATGCAATTTTAAAGAATAACATCTTTATTGTTTTGGAATTACTGCTAGATGGCTTTTTTTTCATAATTCAGGTTATTAAGTTCATATTTGTGAAATTTTTAAAGAATAACATCTCTGTTCTGTTCAAATTACTGCTACTAAGACATTTTCATAGTTCAAGTGATTTATTTGATATTTGTGAAATTTTAAAAGACATCTTTTAGTTTTTGGAAGGACTGCTTTAGATAAATACATGAGTTGGCTAATATAGAACTATTTAGCATTTGGATTAAAATTAGGAAAAATCATGTTGATTTCTTTGTCACTTTTTGATCTTTTTAATATGTGTGGTTTTATTTTGACTCTATAAAAGATATCGTTGGTTTAACACTAAGGTGTTTTTTTTATTCTTTTAATGTTCAGAGCTTATATTGATGCATTAACTCAGTAATTGCTTCTTATTTCTCCAATGAAGCTGAAGACATAATACATTAAAAACTGTTATGGTAATAATCCTCTGATAATCCTTTCACACAGTTCTCATTAACTTACATTAAGTATTAAGTCATCATTAACACATTAAAAACTATTATGGTAATAATCCTCTGATAATCCTTTCACACAGTTCTCATTAACATAGCTACATTAAGTATTAAGTCATCATTAACACATTAAAAACTATTATGGTAATAATCCTCTGATAATCCTTTCACACAGTTCTCATTAACTTACATTAAGTATTAAGTCATCATTAACACATTAAAAACTATTATGGTAATAATCCTCTGATAATCCTTTCACACAGTTCTCATTAACCTACATTAAGTCATCTTATATGTTTTTTCCTCTTACATATAAAGGACAATTTTGTAGGTTCCATGATCTTTATTGTTCTGCAAGAAATGAAAATGATGACCAAGATTATCCCCCTTCTGTGGGTAGAGGAGGAAAAAAAGCAGATATCTATCGCTTGGTAGGTAAAAATATGAAACAGAAGATGTCACTTGTTAGAGTAATGTTAACTGATATGGAATGACCTCAATCAGCAATTGTAATTCTCTTAAGTTCCTATTATTAAAAGCAAATGGATATACTTTACTTGTAACAAGTTTATACAGATCATATTCAAAGAAAATATATTTTGTTTATGTGTACCTTAGTCCTACCAAGCGTCTTTTTTTAATGAAGAACTTTCATTAATGATCATATATTTTTTAAAATGGTTCAAAGTCATTGCTTTATTTAATAGTACTAATGAGTAATTGCCTACCAGAATGTAAAAAACATTTACTCAATCATGAATTTTATTTCATTATTTTAAGTTTATTCCAAAAAAACATGTCACCCAAAAAATCTAAATTTATTTTTAATAGCTTATTTTCATAATGATCAGAAGAATCTTAGTTAGTGAA